TCACCGGGAGGCCTAGAAAAAACCTCGTCCCTAAGGGCTTTCAGCGTATTTTTCGATGCGTTTTTCTCGATGAAGGAATTTTTTTTGAATTTTTTCTTTATTTTTATGTCAATCTACATGCATTTCTGCACATTTTGATGCAATAAAAAATTTCACCGTACACCACCTTTAAATGTTTCTATGACAAATAATAATTTTCAAATCTAAAAATCTACAAAAAAAATGAAAGAACAAAATCAACAATCAGAAACGAAACAAAAGCTATTACGAATTCTAAAAGAAGAGCTTAAGAATACAATTTATCAGATCGTTGGCTACTGTAATACTCGCGATGTACTTCATTTTTCGGTGCGAACACTTTCCGATCAGCCAATGAAACGACGCATCCAGATGGAATTCCGTGGAACACTTGATCGATCGATTTCAATGCAGAAGTGATTTTCAGCGTCTCCGTCAGCTCGTATCCTCTAACATCAGCACTCAATTGACGTTCCTTCTCAATTTCCGTCTCCTCACACAAATATCCACGATTCTTCGCGTCCATATAATATTCGATAAGACTAGCTGGCGGCGTCTTCCTTCTCGGAACCACGCGTCCTTTTTCAAACCACGCCTTCGGATTCACCGCCGCTTCAAGACTCTCCACATCGTAATACGCGGTTCGCACCCGGCCGCCAGCCTTCTCAACTGCAGCGATCGCCGATTGTGTGGCATACTGTACTTCGATATCGATTGGATAGGGAAACGAGTCGGCCCCCTTTTCGGTTAAATCGAAGTTGTATTGTAGGATTTTCGGGTTGATTTGGAATTTCTGAGTGGCCCACAGGGTGGAGACGTCGATTGGAAGACGTGGATTGATCCAGCCAAGATCGATGAGACGAGCAAATTCGACGAGGGATAGGGGGATGTATTCGCGTCGGGTGCTGAAAATTTTTGAATTTTTTCTAATTTTCTTTTGACCTAGTTTTGATTTTTAGATATCACAGGGCTCGAACTGTTTTGGTATGATGTTGCGCTCTAATGTGAACGTGACGTGGCGGAGTATTAGGTGTAAAATCAGCTAAAAATAGCGTAACATTTCGCAACGTCACTTTTTTGATTTTTAGGTTATGACCTTGATTTCAACAATTCAAAACTACGGGGAAAGTTGCTATCTGACGAGTTGCTATATAGAAACAATTGCAATATTTCAGTTTTATATTACAGGGTTATGCTAAAACGCCTGTTTACCGGCAAGGCATTTCAGCCTAAGCCTTTGCTTTATCAAAAAATTATTTTCAAAATTCCAGCATAAAGTATTATTGTTGTGCGAAAAATTTGTAGTCGAGACGCAGACAGTTGAACAAAAAATTTCTCTGCGTCTCCACCGAGTATGTGCTATTTAGGCTTGCCGCTTCGAGGTGCATACCGTATTCAGTCTGCAAAAAATACTCTCTAACTCCAATTTTTTCGGACAACAATAATAAGAAACTTGTGTCTTTGAAGTTCGAAAATATATAGCAATTGTGTCAAATAATTGTGTCCCACCCTCGATGCCGTTAGTCAGTTGAGCAATTACCGTATTTTTCTGATCACTGGGGCGTTCATTTCATTGTGAATAAATTCCCAGAATTTTCAGTTTATAATTTTTTATTGCAATCTTTAATGATGTCTTATAAAAACATGGATTAATACATGAAACATGAAAACTTAGCTGTCTGTTGTGTATTTCTTTTTTCAGTTAGAGATCACATATATAAAACAAGAATGGTTAAGGATTGAGAGAGTGAGACGGAGAGAGAGAATAGGACAAACAGACACACAGAGAAACAGGGGGAGATAGTAGTAAAAGATTTTTTTGAGAAACAATGCACCTGTATTTGAGAAAAATGAAAAAAAGGAAAATTACATTAAAATTTGTATATGAGAAAAACATCCCGGCCAGGTAGACATTAACCCATTACAATTAAAGAGAAAGAAGAAGGAGAGAGAAATGTGAATAACCGGATTTTTGGAAAATTTAAGGAACAAATGTGGGTCAATATGAGCAATTTTTGTATGAATGAGACACGCGAGAGAGAGAATGGAACAAGGAAAACAAAAAACCTATTTAGACTTCTTAGTACTCGACGGCTGTTGCTGAGCAGCCGCTGCGAACATAGCCAACGTATTCGGATCCGACATTATCATCTGATTTAGGACTTGTGGATTCTGAAGAAGCGCTGTGAGGAGCAATGGGTTGATATCGTCCATTGAGTTTGCTGATGAGGTGGCAGCTGCTTGAGACGCGGATGGCGTAGAAGAAGAAGCAGCAGCGGGGGTGGCTGATGATGTTGCAGCTGGAGCAGGAGCCGAAGACGTGGATGCTGTTGAGGAGGCAGCTTGGAACTTTGGCTGGAAATGAAGATGATGATGAGATGGATTTTTGATTTTTATTTTCTTACCTGTTTGGTCGTTGGTGTACTTGGCACGGATGCAACTTGCGCTGCTTGTGCTGCAGCCAACGCTGCCATCGTTGCTGCTTGATTGTTTGTTGAAGAAGCAGACGACGTGGATGGCATATTGTATCCACCGTACATCAACTGCTGAATGGCTGCCGCCTGTTGATACTGTTGAAGGATCATCTGCATTTGAAGCATTTCCAATTGCTGTTGCGTGATCTTATCCTGTTGGGACTGAGCGGCGGCGGCTTGGGCGGCAGCATTAGCTATAAGTACTTTGGATTCGTTAGAGCGCATTCGATTTAAATTGTAAAACTTACCACTTCGGGACTTGCTGGAAGTCGGCGTCTGCTGTTGTTGAACCTGTTGAGCAGCAGCCAATGCCATCAGTTGAGCTGCTTGAGCATTCGTCAGTTGTGTTTGAGCATTCACTTGAGCAGTGGTCGTTGGTGTAGAAGGTGTCAACGCTGGTGCTGGAGTAGTTGGTACCGATGGGACTACAGCAGGTTCCCCTCCAATTCGATCAGTATGCTTTCCATTCAACGCTAGATGAGCTGGCAGTGCAGACTGACTATTCACATTGTAGTCCGGATTCGCGTCAAGCCATGCGGCAAGATTCTCACTCTTCGGCCATTTGGAAGCTGCCAATGGTTCTCCAGTCTTCCGATTGAACACGGAGATCATGTTATCTAATTGGAGGCTATTGCCCACTTTGATATTACACGTGGCAGAAGCGGATGGGGTTTGAGGTTCTTTTGGTGCCGGAGTAGGAGCTTTTGGAGTGGCAACTGGTGTTGGTCGGTTACTAGCAGCCTTTGCTCCAGCGGCAATTGTTGCGGAAGAAGTACTAGATCCAGGCATATCCTTGAACAATGTAAGATCGATCGTCCATTCTGGATGTGACATGGCGAATACAGTTAGGTCGCGAATTTGAGGCCGCTTCGCTTCCGGTAATGGTTCTTTGGTTGTCTTGTGAACCATTGGAATTTTGGACTCCTTTGACATCGTATTCAGCTTGGCGAGCTCGTTCATTCCAACACCAGCAATCTCCAGAATTCGAAGAATTATCAACTCCTCCTGACTCTTCGTCACTTGAGCTTGTTGTGCCTGTTGAGCGGCTTGAGCTTGTTGTTGCTGTTGTTGTTGAGCAGCGGCAGCGGCAGCAGCAAGTGCAGCAGCCTGAGCTGTAGCTGTAGCCTGTGCAGTGTCTTGCTTTGGTGTTGGCGCAGGCGTTGGTTTAGCCTTCTTCGCTGCAGATGGAGTAGATGTTCCAGAAGAAGCCATTGCTTGCATAGCTCCAGGTTGCAGAGCCATCGCCATAAGAGCCTCGAGGATAGCAGCATTTTGCTGATCGGCAGTAGATGCAGCAGAAGAAGATCCAGGGACACTATTACTAGTACTACTGGTTGCCTGTGCCAATTGAGCCAAGGCAACCACAGCGGCTTGAAGTTGAGCTTGTTGTTGGGCTTGTTGACTGCTAGATGATTTCGACGTGTTTGGTTGTTGTTGTTGCATCGCACTAGCCACCAGCATTGTCAGCATTTGGTTGATTGTTTGTTGCTGAGCAGCAGTCATGTTCTGTCCTCCACCTGCTGCCGCCATCATCTGTGGCATCAGCATTAGAGCGATCATGTTAGCATACTCAGCGCCTCCTGCACCTCCTGCCGCACCCATCAACATTTGCTGCATGGCTCGCATCTTGGCCTCGTTGTCGTTGTTCGGTCGCTTTCTATTCGCGGCCTTTCGGTTAGCCGAGTTAGCTGCGGATGCAGATGACGCTTGTTGCTGAAGTTGTTGTTGTTGCATCCGTTGAAGGAATTGAGCCTGGGCAGCAGCAACAGCCATCTCCTTCTTGTCTTCACTATCACTATCGTTGACAGCTTCCACGTCGGCGACACCACACCATTTTCCAGTTTCAACTGTGGTGACGATTTCAATGACTCGGCGGAGAAGTGTGGTTTCCGAGGGACGGACGATCTGGAAAATTAGACTTTAAAATAATCATTATTTAACCTAGAATTGATTACTCACCTTTGCAAACGCTGGTTTATTCAAAACATTAGCAGCAAGTCCATCCAATCCACCTTGAGCGCAAATCTCAATGAGCTCCTTATCATGCTCGGTACTCCATCCACTTGGCATTCCAGTCGTTTGACAATTCATCAAACTCGCCACTGTCAAACTCTCAGCCAACGTATGCACCTTCCTCATCACATTAATCCGATTCAGCAGCTTGATAGCTTTACGATGAGCAATTGGATCAATCGACATTGCTCGTTTCAAATCGATCGGCTTCAAGTCGTTATTCCCTTGAGCCCGTTTGCACATCGCCAGGACACACATGAAATGCTCATGGAGTTCCTCGTCGCTTCTCTTCTCAAACATTGGTGAAAAAGTGCGGAACACCGTCCAATCCTCGCCAGTCTGATCTCCTTTTGGCGCTTTAACACCGTACGATTTGAGCACTCGGAGGAACTCAACCTCTTCTTTTCGATTCCATTTACTCTTATCGTAAACTGGATCATGAATACTTCGCTGGTGTGTGCTGAGCAATCGTCGGAATCGAACCCAGAACTCGGTTGCAATCGGCCATGCAGGAATGTTCTTTTCGTGGAAGCACAGGTTCTCGTCGGCTCTCATAGCATCAAAGTTCTCAAGGCCGTGTCTCCAGCAACCAATCAAGAAGCACTTGTCACAGTCGGTATCCCAGCCTTCCACAAACGTTTCAGCTACAATTGGCATCTCTTTGAGCTTGATATCCGTCCACTTGACTTCAAAGTCCTCTACCAACGACCGTTCTTCAGCAATTATATAGACTTCGAGATGCTTCAACATATCGATTTTCTGCATGAGCTTATTGGCATGTCTATGGACGTGTCGTTGGAATGAGGAATCCAACGCGAAACTTGGAGGATTGAATTCCGGAAGAGCCGCCCATCCTTGATTATACATCGAACCGGCACTATACTTTGAGTTCGCTCCGATCTCTTTAGGTTTGATAAGATTGAACACAAACTGTCGAACTCTATCGTCTCCTCGGAATTCTCTCACACAATGCAACAGAAGTGTTCTGGACATGTGCTCAATATCTTGTTCCTCTATCTCCAAATCTCCATACTTCTTAATCTCCGCCCATCGTCCCCATCCATAATTCGCAAGAACCTTCTCCATCTTGAAGTACTCTGCTTTGCTAGTTGCCAACTCATCCGGCCGATAGCTCGACGAATAGTCGCCATCCTCATCTTCTCCTTTCCGCCTCTTTCGTTTCTCTGGATTTCCTCTCTTCCGCTTTCCAGACTCCTCACTACCATCCGAGTCGACATCTTCCATTTTGTTCTCCTCAAAACGTTTGGTTCGTTTACGTGGCTCTTCGATAATGAGTTCTCTGCCATCCGGAGTCGCTGTGGCCTTCTCAACGTCGACTTGTGCTTTCTCTGCCCATTTCGTCCAGAATTCCGGATCATCAATATCGATATCATCTCCCTTGTTATGCGTCGAATTGAATGTGGCTTTGGCGAAAAGAGATCCCTTCTGGCCGGCTTCTAAAGTGATCGTTTGAGTTCTTCGTTGAAGAATTGTCTCGATATCTTCCTCATTGAACTTGGCCGAGTCATTCTCCTCATCCATAATGGATCCATAGGCTCCTTTCTTCAACAACTCCTCAACATCTTTCTTGCTCAATGCGGTTCCCTCGGCCTTCAAAGCAGTTGTAGATTGAAGAACAGCTTTATCCAAACCCAATTTCAACGAAGCCTTGTCAAACATTTCTCTTTCGTATGTATTCGAAGTGATCAGACGGTACACCTTCACAAGTTTCTTCTGCCCGATACGATGACATCTGGCTTGTGCTTGCAAATCGTTCTGAGGATTCCAATCTGAGTCGAAGATAATGACAGTGTCAGCGGCAGTCAGGTTGATACCAAGACCTCCAGCACGGGTACACAGTAGGAAGACGAAGCGGTCAGAGTCTGGAAAATCAAAGATTAAAAAGAGTCAGATTAGAAAAAAAACTCACTCTCTTTACTGAATCTATCGATAGCGGCTTGTCTCATATCTCCTCTCACATTTCCGTCGATTCTTTCGAATGGATAGCTCATGGTGATCAGGAATTCTTCCAGAAGATCTAACACTTTCACCATTTGAGAGAAAATCAGCACTTTATGACCATCCTTTCTCAGTTTTGGAAGCAACTTCTCGATGAGAACAACCTTTCCGGACGCTTGAACCAACGCCTTCTGAGCAAGAGTCTCATCGTCCCAATCTGGATGTGCCAGCCGGAAATCGTTCATGATGGTCTCCTCGGCACCGTTGATTAAGAATGGATGGTTACAGCATTTTCTCAACTCCATCATCACATTCATCAGCGATGGCGCAGACGTTCCTTTGCACAAGTGACTGAAATTTCTCTCCAAAATCGCACGATAGAACTTTTTCTGCATATCCGACAGCTGAACTTCAATAATCGTCTCCTCCTTCGGACCAAGCGATTTCTCCACGTCTTCTTTAAGTCTTCTCAACATCATTGGCTTCAGAATCTCTTGTAGTTTCTGAACTTGATCGTCAGTTTGACAAGATCCAAATTGCTCCAGGAAGGTTGCTGAATTGTCGAATTGTTGAGGATGGAGGAAGTTCAGGAGGGAAAAGAGCTCTTCAATGTTATTCTGTAGAGGGGTTCCGGTAAGAAGCACTCGATGTTCCATCCGGAAAGCGAGAAGTCCGTTGACCAACAACTTGCAGTTACGATTTTTCAAACGATGAGCCTCATCGATAACACACACTCTCCATGGAATCTTTTTCAGGAATTCGACATCAGAAACCACAGTTTCGAAGGTGGTAATCAGTGCATCGATTTTAACGAAATTCTTCTTCCAATTCTTCGCTCCACAGTGTCTCTTATCGTAGAACACTTCGTATTGCTGAAGAACCTCTCTAGCATGAGCGCTTCCGTGATAAACGATAGCATTCATATCAGTCCACGTTTCGAATTCTCTGACCCAATTTTGGATGGTAGACAGTGGAACAACCACTAGGAATGGTCCATGGATACCGTAATCGTAGACTTGTGAGAGAAATGTGATCGTTTGAACCGTCTTTCCCAGACCCATTTCGTCGGCGAGAATGCAATTTTGGCTGAAACAAAAAAAATATGAGACTACCGTAATCTTTGAAAATGAAACTTACGCATTATAATAGCAATAGAGCAGCCAATCAACGCCTTCAAACTGATACTCTCTCAGCGAATTTCCATTCTTCCACACTTTCTTCGTACTCAACTTCTTCCACTCTTCTGGCTCTGGACGTTGCTTATCTCGGACCTTCGCTGGATCGATAACCTGTCGTTGTCTCCACAGCTCGACTTTATCCTCCGGAATATGCTCAATGGGTTCCCATGTCACTTCATCATAGCCCAACGACTTCCACTTAATCAGAACGAATTCTTGTCCGTCATCCTCAATGATGTAGTCAACTACTCGGTCCACAATTACGAAATCCGAGTTGAAGTCCTCATCATCTTCTATATATGACACCGCCTTCTTCGCCTTGAACCTCTTTATTTTGGCTTCAACTCTCTTGTCCAGTTCCAGAAGCTCTGGAAGCGTCTTCCAATCACAATGACAATAGGCACGTCCTTTCCATTTGATGAGGAATTGCTCCTGTTCTACTTCTTCTGTTGGAACCTCTTCTGAAGCACCGTTGGTAGTAGGCTCTGCTTTGGCTTCTGAAGTCTCCGCAGCCTCTTCTCCTTCTTCTTTCAGTGGAACTTCCGTCTCTGCTTTTTGAATAGGAACCTGAACCTTTTGAATCCTCACATTCAGAATCTTTTCGACAACCATCGCATTTGGGTCAGGTGCTGGTGCATCTATCTTCATCAGAAACTCGTCGTCATCGTCATCTGACTTTTGAGCAGCGTCTCCGTTATTCTCCGCCACTGGCTCAACGACTTTCTTTCTCGATCCGCCTCCACCGCCTCCTCGTTTCTTTGCACCACCTCTTCCACGTGCCGGATAAAAATCATCGTCATCTGAATCGTCAAGACTCTTCTTCTTCCGAGACTTGGCGACAACTACAGCTGGTCGTTTGTATGATTTCTTCCTGGAAGGCGTCGCACCCATCAGAGGCGTCGATGGTTCTGTGAATCCGTCATTCGTCTCACTGGGAGCCTCACTCATATCTTTGGTGTTCATCGACAAATTATCATCGTCGTCCTCCACTTCTTTCGAATCCTTAGAAGATGATTTCGCAGACGAGGCTAGATCAACTTCATCGTCCTCTTCCTCTTCTCCATACGTCTCCTGAACTCCTGAGAAGTTCTCAATCTCTTCTAGGCGAACTGGAGTGGTCTCTTCGTCTGGTGTGGCGATAGGAGGGCCGGGAGAGCTTTGACTACTGTTTCCACTGCTGGTACTCTCTTCTGATTCCCGGATAGGTTCCTTTTTTTCTTCTTCTTCTTCTACAGGAGCATCAGTAAGCACTTCTTCTACTTCTTCTTCCTCTTCTTCTTGAGGAGCAACATCTGAATTCCCGTTCACATATGGAGCCTCTTCTGTTTCCACATCTGGAACTTCTTCAGCTAGTACAGATGATTCTTCCTCCTCCTCCTTAGGATTCTCAACTTCTTGCGAAGTCGTTGGCACCTCTTCCTCTTCTTGCGGAACTTCTGGCTTCTCTTCCGTAGTTGATATCACTTCTTGAGGTTCAGACTGAGACTCCGCCGCAAAATATGGCTCCTCGATTTTCGGTGTTTCAATTACAGCTTCCTGCTGAATCGACATTTCCTGACTCATCTGCGGCTGAGAAGACATCATTGGCGCTGGATCAGAGACCAAAGGTGACTGCTGTTGCTGTTGCTCAGGCTTTTGATATCCAGAATTTGAAGATGATGGTGGATAATCCGGATACCCTGAGAATGGCTGCTGCTGCTGTGGCTGCTGATGTTGATGTTGCGGCTGATGTTGATGTGGTTCCATTGGCTGCTCCTGCTTTATTGGAGGAGCGGAGCCACTGGGAGTGGCAATACCATAACCGGATGGATGAGGCTGCTGCTGGTGAGGAAGTTGCTGTTGGTGTTGAGGAGGTTGCTGGTGGTGTGGAGGATAGCCGGAATTCATCTGAAAAGAAAATAACAGTATTAGTATCAATAGAGCGCGTTTTAAAGCTTACATTCTGTTGCTGTTGTGGATGCTGCTGACCATGATGCTGTTGCTGCTGATATTGTGCATACATCGCCTGCTGGTGTTGTGGCGGCGGCTGCGACGGCTGAGCATACGGATTCGGTGGCATCGACGTCGAGGGCATTCCAGATGACGACGACCCATTCTCCATTCCGTTGTAAGACCCTGGATAGCCAGCTGGTTTCTCCTCGATCTTAGCTGGAACCTCGGATGGTGTTGGCTCGGGCGGCACAATGGATTCTTTGGATTCCGTTGAGCTTGCTCCAGATCCACCGTACCCTTCGTGATAGACAGATATCAGTGTCCTAGACTTATCGGCAGTGATATTTAATTGCACTTGATTTCCAGTCTGTGCCACATGAACTGGTCCCTGCTGAGAAGACGTCGGTGGCTGATGGTGTGCCGCTTGCTGATGCTGCCACTGTTGTTGTTGTTGCTGATGGTGAAGCTGTTGGCTATACCGGTAGTGGTCGGCTTGAAGCTGGGTAAGCTTAGCGTGAAGTTGTTGAGCTTCTGCTTCTGCCGTCGCGTTTCTCGGCATTGTGTATATCTGATTAATTCGAGCTTTGTGATCGTGGACCGACTTTTCGAGTTGATTGATTATGTCCTGAAAAAAAGAGAATTTCGGAATATGTTTTAGCCTTTTTCAGCCCATAGATGGCCAGAATTAGTAAAATTTAAAATTTAAAAAAAAAATTAATATTTAAAAAAAATTATTTTTTTTTTTCAAAATTAAGCCGTGTAAGAGCCTAAAAATCTGCCGAGGTGCCGTCCACCACAGGACACCAAGTAACCCATGTATGTTTCGCCCCCCCCCCCCCGGCCCCAAAAAACTCACCAATAACTCTTGATTCGCTCTAGCCCACAGCTCTTGTTGCGGCATCTTAGATGGCATCGGTTGTGACGTGACAGGAGGCTGTGGAGGGGCCCCTCCGTATCCTGGATAAGAGTCCCAGTAGCCTGGAGGCGCTTGCTGCTGTTGCTGACTATGCGGTGGGAACTGTGGATGCCTCATCTGATGAGCTGCCTGAGGTGGTGGTGCATATGGACTCTGTTGGGATGGAGGATAGGCGGGAGGCGGTTGCGGTGGATACCCATATGGCGGTGGATATCCAGGTTGAGCTTGTTGGGGTGTCGGAGGCGCGCCTCTTTGTTGTTGCTGCTGCTGTTGATGGTACATATAATTTTGAGACGTGGGCGGTGTTTGTTGTGGCGGTTGTGCGTATGGATTTGGTGGTTGTCCTCCTGATGCGGGTCCTGGCCGGTACCCTTGTTGTCCATTCGCTCCTGGATAGTGTTGTGGTGGTGGTCCAGCACCTCCATACATTCCCATTTGGTTCTGTAAATACTTGGAAACAATGGAATCAAAAATTCTTTGACAAGACTTACCGGATATGGATTTCTATTCATCATTGGATTATTTGACATCGCCGCCATCGATGCCATCGGATCCATCGCTTGTGCAGCTGCTGCAGCCGCCGCCGCTTCTGCTTGCTGCGCCTTTTTTGACTTGCCACGTGGCTTTTTAGCTGGCGGTGGAGCTGCCGGAGGTGGTACTGGCGGTTGCACGGGAGGCGCCATCTGATGCATGTGCTGTTGTTGTTGCATCATCATCATCTGATGCTGGTGCTGCTCATAGGGGTTCATCGGTTGCCCGGGATACCGTTGTTGTTGTGGCATGGAGCCGGGCGGTGGTTGCTGATGTTGTCCCGGCGGCGGTACCGGCGGACCGCCCATCATTGTGTAGTCTGTCATTTGGCTCATTTGTGGTACATAATCGTCGCCTGGAAAATTTTATTAATTAGAAAATTCTATTTATATCAAAAATTGTTACTCACCTTCATCCATTTTTAATTATGTGTGTATCTGTTTCTGGCTGTAGACAAAATTAACGAAAAGTTAAATAAAAAAGCAAATTTTTTTAATTAAGAAAATAAGCGATTTAGTGTGTGTGTTTTTCCTGACCGTGTCGATTTTCTTGGTTGTAAAAATCGGATTCAGCAGGATATCATCTGAAAAAAAAGGCATTTTTTGAAGAGAACATTTGGGTTGAACGACGAAATGAACGGAGAAAAAAAAAGGTAAAATTGGAAAAAAAATTCTAGAAAGACACACACACACACACACACATAGGTCGATTCTGTTCTTCTGCAGATGGTTATCATCAATACAACCAACCCATACAACCTCCACCGCCTCAAAAACGGACAAAAAAGGCCAAAAAGGGGTTCTTCTAGAAGACAAAAAAATTTGTTCTAATTTTCAATGTGATGAGTGAGTGTTGTGTGTCGTGAGTAGGGTGTGTGTGTGCGTATATGCAATGGCAATGGGAAACGACGAAAAAAAACGGCGGTTGTTGGTGGGGTGAAAGGAAGAGAGACGACCCCATGGAGTCCAAGTACGAAATAGTGTGGAACGTCGAGAGAGACGCAGAGATTCAAGACAGAAAGAACGGACACACCGCTGGGGGCCGAAGCAGTGTCCACTGTCTCTAGCCCGTCTCTGCCAACTCGCGCACTCTCTCGTCGACACCGCTGTTTGGTCGTCTAACCTCTCGGCGGGCCCCGTCGTCCGAGAGAAGGGGAATCTCTCAGAGGAGGAGGAGGAGATGGAGCGGCTAATCGATTCTTCGAGAGGAGGTGTTATGTGCTGTGTGGCCAGTCAACCCCACCGCTCAGAGTGCGCAGGCGCCCCCCTCCGGTGTGTATGTATGTGAGTATATGTGTTGTTGATGATGACAGTGGACACGACTGACCAGAAAGACATCGACGGCGACTATGAAGAAGAAGGAGAAAGATGAAATTGAAGAAGAAGATGATGAAGGTTTTGAAGGATAAGTGTTTTTTTTCTTCCCTTTCTTCGATCCATGACCGTTAGTTTGGTTTTTTCTCCCTATTTTCTCATAGTTCGCCGTCTCCAATAAACATCATCCTTTTGATTAATTTTAATAGATACTGAATCGTTTTGAGACGGAGAAAAAGATGGTGGTTTGACCTATTTCTCAACAGAGCGTAGGTTAACAAAAAAAAAAGAAATTATCAATAGAGCACATTTGCTAGATCAAGTTAAAAGATTTAGAAAAAAAAGGGAGCGTCATTTTGCACCAGCAGTCACCCAAATAAAACGATAATTGCTGCATAGAGCAGATGGCTAAACGATTGGTGTATGGTGTCCTTGAGAGGTGACACGTGGCAATTAAGTAAGGCATGACACACAAAGATCTTGTCTACCTTTGGGTCCGAAAATTTTGTTTAAATCTAAACTTTTAGAAATTCACAAGTTGTAAACCGTGGTGGTATGCAAGTGCGCCCTAATGTGAAAAAATAGGATTTTAAATTGATTTTTTGAATTTGGCGCCAAATAATTTAAACAAATAAAACAATTTTCAGGGAAAAATGTGAAAATTTAGATTTTTTGACTGGAATTTTTCTATGTTTGGAATCATAAGTTTCGGCTGAAACTTCTCGTTCAACTTGGACATTCGAAAAATGGCGCCAAATTCAAAAAATTTGGGTGAAAAATTCCGATTTTTCACCGAAAAATTTCCAAAGAATTTGGCAGAAATCAAAACATGCTAAATTCACTAGCAAAATTCGATATCTAACGGAACAGCGAGGGAGTAACGTAACGTCTTCAAGGTCACACCCATAGTCTCTCTGTCTCCCGCCAAACAACAAAAAAATCTTTCTCTCGAATTTGTCTCCTTCTTCTTCCTTCTTCGCCCCGTTCTGGCACCATGCCAAGTTTTGAGGAGAGCGAGAGAGAGAGAGAGAGAGAGACAGAGGGTGCGAGAGAAACGAAAGGGGCTATTTTTGAGCGCATTTGCGCTAGAGGAAAATTCGAAAAAATACAGATTCTTCGATGGGAAAAAAACAATAATGATGGAAAAAATGATGACGAGCGGAAGAAGAAGAAGAAGCCATGTCTATGTGTGCAACTTGGTTTTTGCTGTGTTGTGTGTGTCGGTGTGTATGTGTGAGTGTTATTGGCCAACAACCTCCCCAACAAAAACGCGCGCACATTTTTCTCTGCCGTCTCCACGTCACTCTCCATCTGCTCTTCTCGATTTCACCTGTTCTCTGTTCGTGTTCTTCTTCTTCGCTGACCACAACGATACCACTACGACTACTATTGTGAGCGCGCGCGCCTCGCCGCAAAACTCATAAAACACTCACATATATATATATATATATATATATATATATTCCATTTCATTCAGCGCTTTTTTTAGTCACCCCACACACAGGTGCTGGCTGAAAATGAATGAGACGAAGAGAGAGAGCGACGATACTGATAAGGACTGATAAGAGAAGAGAAAGAAAAAGTTATGAAGATGTGACCACTAGTTCAGTCTGCAGATGAAGAGTGGAGAGTTCTTTATACATGAGATAACAAGAGGACAGAAACGGAGAGCAACGTCTTCTGAAACTTGATACACCCATTACGCACTGGTCTCTGGTAGTAACACGATTGTATGACCGAGGATTCTGGACTCTCGAAAATATGAAAATCAGCTTAGCGTATCAAAATGTGTAGAAAAATATGTCGATTCATATAGAAACCAAAAAAAAAATTCAGAAAAATTCGCTTCGAAAATTTCTGTAAACTTCTGGAAGGCTCCCGAACCATTTTTTTTTGAATTCCCGCCAAAACTGGAAACTCTGAAAAATTAGCTTTTTATTCGTTTTTTTTTCAAACTTTTGGTCCCCTTCAAATCTTGAACTTTGAAACTTTTTCGACATTTCCTGTGACAGGCTCCAAGTTAAATTATCGAAATATCGAATTTTCAAACTCCACCCCCATTGCAAGTACGCTCCAATGAACGAAGGATTTAAAACTACAAAATCTCAAAAACTCATTAGCGCTACGCGCTAAGTCACAAGATTACATAAATTTCAGAGATGAAATTGAAAATATATTCGCAGAAAAAGGGAATTGTGAGGAAAACAAGATTTTTGTTATTTCTTTTTCAGACAAAAATCCAACTAATCTTTAGCGAAAACAACAAAAAATTGAGCTGTCAAAGATTAGTCTTCTGAATACATTGCCCACGTCTTCAAGGGCCAAGGAAGGAAAATTCAAATTTCCACCAAAAATTGAAAATTTTAGGCCACATGCTTTCAGTAGTAGAAAAGCCACGTGGCAAGGAAGGGAAATTCAAAATTTCACCGCGAATTCTAGGCCACGCTTTGGCGCGAATTCAAAAAAGCTTCCATACCTTGTCTTCAATAGAGAAAATTCTAGAATATTAGTAGGCGCATGTGATGAAGTGAGCTCACACAAACACTCTTTTGATTTTTAATAAGCTCAAGAAATGAGAATTGAAAAGAGAAAGAAGAAGAGATTCTGCCTACTGCTCTCCACACGCTCCATCTTTGGAATAATATGAGAGAGATATATAGAGAGAAAAAGCGAGGATATATAATTTGTTGGGGTGGGGACGACATATAGCCGGGGGAGGAACGCGAGATCAAGCTATAGAGAGAAGAGAGAGCGCAGAGAAAATGACACGAGAGGATTTCTCCAAAGTAGGAGCTCTCGGCACACACACACCGTGGCAGCTGGTGTCCTCCTCCAGCTCCATTTTGGTCACTATGTCTTCTTCTTGTTGTTCGTTCTTCTTCAGAATACTGCTTCTTCATTCAATCGAAATGCCTTCTCGGTCCTCTTTTTCCCGCCCCAGTGTGTGTCTAATACTTGCAGAGTGAGAGCATGAAATTGTTGTTGTGTATTCCAATTCCATTTATTCGCTCTCATATATAGCAAGTGAAATTTATTAGCGAGACCGAAAATTCCCCGGAAAGAAGGGAGATGATTCGAAAAGGGAGTTTCTAAAAATTCGATGGACGAGAATTGGCGACAAATATACTAAAATTACGGTTTAAAAACATTAATTAGCTACAATAAACATCTCCAGAAAGAAAAAAATGAAAAAAAAAATGAAAGAAAGTGGAGAAAATCGAGAAAAAAGCTGATAAAAATGAAAATCTAGAGAAGATAATTTAAATTTTGTGCTTCCCGCGCGGGCTTTGCAAACGCGCCCTGCTGGAATATCGAAAAAAAATTCTTTTTTTTCGAGGATTTATCCAATTTTCAGCAAATTTTCAGCTTTTTTTCGTCTTTTGATGTAAAAAACTGAAAAAAAAATTGTATTATCAAGTTTAGTATTTCACTCCCATTCTAGCTCATTTAGCCTCTAAACGGAATTATTTCCCTCTACGGAAAAAAGGATTTTCAGCATTTTTTTTTCGCATTTTTCGATGTAAAAACTGAAAAATAATTTTTATTCATAATCAAATTAAGTGTTTCAATCTCATTCTAGCTCATTTCCCTTCTAAAAAAAAATATATTAAGACTAAAATAATATATTTTCTTATTTTTTTCAATGAAAATGGATTTTCAGCAGACTTTTAGCTCTTTATTTCATTTTTCTATGTAAACATTAAACTCATTCTAGCTCATTTTCTCTCTCACACTCTATTTTTTCAAAGTTTCAAAACTGAAAACTAGATTTTTCAATTTTTGTCGTAATTTCCTTTCTAATTTTTCACCGAAAATCCTAAAAATCTCGCATTTTTTCTCAATTTCAGCATCAAAAATGTCGTCGATCAAAGAGGAGTTAATCTGCGAGCAGGAAGCAGAATCGCAAGTTTTGCAAATCGCCGAAGCCGCCATCGACGGAATCGATATGGATGGGTTGAAGAGTATGACACCAGGATTGACGGAAGATGCCAGATTAAAAGCCGTGAATGCTCTTCTAAACTCAAAAAAAGTGATTCTAGAGCAGATGCCAGGCGGCGTCCTTCGAGTTAAAGTGAATTCGAGTCAACAGATTGCTGGAACCGAAGAGGAGCAGGCGGTAAGCATTCTAGATCCCAAGCTAAATTATCTCTAAATTTGTCCAGATTTACACCCTGATCGAAGAATCGAAAAATCGTGGAATTTGGATAAAGGAACTTCGCGAAGGAACCGGACTCAACCAGCTTCAACTCAGAAAAACCCTGAAATCCCTCGAAACCAAGAAACTGATTAAAACTATAAAAGCAGTTGGATCAACGAAAAAGTGCTATATTCTCTTTGATTTGGAACCGGATATGGCGTTGACAGGCGGTACATTCTATTCGGACCAGCAATTGGATTCGGAACTAATCAATACCCTAATCAGTGTTTCTGGATCCTACGCGGCGAGTCGGCGGAAGCTAGCGTTAGAGGAGTATCCGAATAATATTCAAATGCAGAGAGAAACCAGCTATATTCGACCACAGGAGGTAAGGATTTGCTTTTCTACTAGAATTTCAAATTCAAAATATTTTCAGATCGCTCAGTTCATCACCGAAAAACGTTTGCTCAACGTTCCTCTCACCATCGAAGACCTCGAAAGAATTCTAGAAGTCGCCGTTCTAGACGGAACCATCGAACGACGAGCCGATGGCAAAATCCGTGCGTGTGCTCCCCGTTCAAGCATCTCTCCATTGGTGTCTGTCCCGTGCGCTGTTTGTCCGGTTGTCGAAGACTGCCGACCTGGATACGTGATCTCACCACAGTCATGCGATTATATGAAAAATTGGTTGGCCGAGTTGTGAAACTTCAATTTTTTATTAAAAATTACTTTTCCTTGTTGATTTATTGACCTCCTTTGTTGTTATCTATTTATTCGATTTTCCTCCAATTTTCCCTAATTTTCCCAAGTCTTTCAAAAAAAAAAGAAGAAAAAGCTATAAAAATTTGAGTTCAATAATTCTAGAAGGAAATCCTTATTTCTGACATTTCCTTGGGATAGATGAGCTCACTAGTCCAGGTCATAACTTTACAAACATCATTCGACGTCTGCTAACCAACTGTCACGTCTTCAGCGTCGTCGTCATCTTCTGTCGCAATCGTTTTCTCTGCACATCTTTCTGCTTTCTCTACAATATTTTTAATACTTTCAGCAAAATGATTCTATCCAAATATCCGAAATTAGTCCAAAAAGAAATATTCGACCACATGGAATATTCGGAACTATTTATGCTCTCATTTGCTTCTAAAAATATAAAGAAATTGATTTAATTGTCCCAAAATAATAGATTCAGAACTATGCGTTCTATTGAGTATCACTGCAATAGTATATCGGAGCCACCTCTGGTTTATGTCCCCTCCAAACGTGGTGTAGAGCCTATAATGCACTTTTGGAATTCCAGAAAGGATAAAACTGGCATTTTTCAGTTAAATGTATCTGGAAAGATGATCGATTTCCAATGAGTGACGGTCAACAATGAACCTTTAAGATTTTATTATTTCAGAATTTGCGGCTACAGTATACTGCCTAGACCATGCACGGGGTTGCGACCGGTAACATCCAGCAAACGCGCTTTGTCGCACTCAAGGGGTTGGCACCGAGCCAAGCCATCATTCATTCAAAAGAAGGACTCTCACTTTGCGTTGCGAAATTTCTCTGCGTATCCTCTCTGGCTACGCATCGACCGCGTCGTGCGGCGCAACGCGCCCAAGAGAACTGGCGCAAATTTGAATGCATGTACTCTGTTGCACCCCCGTGAACATGTTATAAATCGTCTGAAAAAGAATATGTAATCGAATCCGTCCATAAGTATTTACTTGATTTCTTCGGAAATTCAGTGCAGTATCATTGGAAGTTCGACTATTTGAAACACTATTTTATTCCAAAACTTCGAAACGTATCACTCTGTCTTTATATACGTCTCATCTTTGAGGAATTCATAGACTGGGAAAAGCTTGAAACCTTTTTATCCTCATCTCCTGTTTTCAAATGGATTGGATTGGAAATCAAATCTGCAGCACAACCATTCCATCCGGAATCATAATTCCATCAAGCAGAATCTATTATAATCATTCAACATCATGATACTCTTCCTTTTTCTGCGATGTTGCGCCATTTTAAAGGAAGACAGGCTACTATAAGATGCGATGAATGGGAAACTTCAGAAGTTTGATTGAGTGAACAAATGGAAATCAGGAAAAGCGTATCAAAAACTGGAATACTTGAAAATTGAGTTAAATTGCTTTGGAAATAGATGGCGATCCAGGGTCCCTCAGAACCAAATTCTGAGTGAAATTGGCGCGAAATATATTGATGGAACAAAACAACCACCAACGCATACTGTTCCTAAAGTGTAAGCTTTTTTAAGCTTCTAGACTAAATCTTAAATAAGTAATTAGGTTTCAGATACGATTGGCAGTTGCAACATACTGAACCAAATACGGATCCAATCACCAGCCACACATATGTCGTTAGACAGTCGGATAATCGTGTGGCATCTATTTTGATTCATGAGGATACGTCCCGTTTTGGAAAATGGCAGACAAAAATTTATTTTGGAGTGTGGGACAATACAGAGGGAGAGTTTTTAAAATTGATTTCTTCCCTACCAACCAATTTCCGAGATACCTGCAGAGTTTTTGAAATTGATTAATTATTATCACTCACTAAAAAACTGGAAGCTCAGCCGCTGAGAAAATGAGAATTTTTCATTTAGTCCTTTTTGTTTTTTCTCCTATTAACCTTATGAGAGATTGCTTTGTCTCAACATATTTTGAAATATATAAAACATGTATGCATTTATGTTTTATATATTTCAAACTTCATGCCCCACCCATCTATACAAAGTCTTGGTTTTTATGCATTTATGTTTTATGTCCAGATTTTCTTCCACAAGATTTTAAAAAATCCTTGCAGAAAAATGATTCTGTCCAAATATCCGGATCTGGTCCAAAAGGAGATACTCGACCATATGAATTATTCCGAACTATTTATGCTCTCATTTTGCTCCAAAAATATGAAGAAATCGATTAAATTGTCCCTAAAGGAGAGATTCAAAACTATACGTTCCATTGAGTACTTATTTTGATAATCAATGGGAGCCACCTCTGGTTTATGTCCCCTCCAAACTTGATCCAGAATATATATTGGACTTGCGGAACCCCAGGAGGGACAGAAATGATATCTTTCAGTTGAACGTATCTGGAAAGATGATCGATTTTCAGTAAGTTACGATGAGCATAAAAATTGCATTATTTCAGATTGTATACCAACAAAAAAGGGCTATGGCATGTTATCAAGAGTCTGAAAACGAATCTGTAATCGTATCTATCCAAAATTATTTTCTCGATTTCTTTGGAAGTTCAGTGAAATATCATTGGAGATTCAAATATTTACAACACTACTTCTTTCCAAAACTTAAAAACGTATCACTCTGTATTGATATATACCCCGACGAAGACTTAAAGGAAATGGTAAAACTTGAGAACTTTTTATCCGCATCCCCGGTTTTCAAATGGATTGGATTGGGAACTATGTCGACAACGAAACCATTCAATCCGGAATCGAAATTCTATCAGGCAGAATCTATTAGAACCTATTAATTCAGGGACAACTTTTCATTGTCTGCTATTTTACGTCATTTCAAAGGAAGACAGGCTACTATAATGTGCGAAATATGGGAAACTTCAGAAGATTTGATCGAGTTTGTGAATAGATGGAAATCAGAAGAAGCGTTTCAAAAGCTAGAATATTTGAAGATTCAATTAAATGACAACGATATCGTCCATAACGGAATTCTGCATGGGGGTAAAATATATTGATGCGACTAAACAACCACCAAAACATACTTTGCCAAAAGTGTAAGCTTTTTTCAGATAATTTGAAGAATATATTTGCTTCTGGGTGAACTCTCAAGCAAAAAATTAGTTTTCAGATACGATTGGCATCCTCAACATACTGAACCAAATACGGATCCAATCACCAGCCACACATATGTCGTTAGAGCCACTGATAATCATGTGGCATCTATTGTGATTGAGGAGAAAACGTCCCGCCTTGGATATTGGTACACAACAATCTATTTTGGAGTATGGGGCAAAATAGAAGAAGAGTTTTTAAAATTGATAGATTAGTTGTGGCTTTTCGAAGTTTGTCTAATCAGTATCCTATCAACCAGATTTCTTTGTCCCAAAATCCCTGCTTTTTTACCGACAATTTATTTGTTGTTATCACTCCTTCCTTACCCGCCTTTCCAGTAAATCCCAATTTTGTATGCATTCATATTCCATGTCCAGATTCTCTGTCTTTCACAAAAGAGCTAACAAGGAGCGCCGTATTCTTTCTCTTCCCGTTTTTTTTTCTGTAAATGCCATAATCTTTACTATTAACAATCACCAAATTCTGTCTGTGTGTCCGTTTGTTCCCGGTTCCACGACCCTAGCGACTTCGAAGTCCCCAGTAGACCAAAAATTCTCAAATTTTCACAGATGATCGTCTCTATTCAACTTTGAGAAAATTTTATTTTCAGACATTTTCGTCGTTTTTTGGGTTTTTGGGATAAATCGTAAATAACTTTCCACATGGGTGAACTGTTGAGCTGAAACTTATAGGAAATATTTTGCAGTGGTCTGGAGTGTCTACTAGTTGTTTTTATGCTATTCTGAGCCGCCGTTCGCAATTTGAACAAAACTGAAACTTCGAAAACGAACCTTGAAATTCGGTGATTCTGATTTACTTTAAAAAACTGGATTTCATAAATAAAAATCATTTTTCCGTACAGAATCACAGTTTCAAAAACATTTTTGGTAATTGAGAACATCTTTGGAACATTTTGCACACCTTTGAAAATTTTCACTGTGGAATTTTTTTTCAGTTTAAAACTCGAGTTCAGTTATGAGCTACCAGAGCTCACGAATGCCTTGAACAATTATAATCATGAGCACATTTAAGATGCTTTTTATTAGTTCCAGCTCGAAATCTTACCCAGGAGTCAAGTTATTTACGATTTATCCCAAAACCCCAAAAATTGACGAAAATGTGTAAAAAAAATTATTTAAAAAAAAACTGGAGATTTTCCATTTTTCAGGGTGGTGCTATCATTATGACGCGGTGTGCAGACAGACTTTTGGTTACTGTAGTCCTAATACACTTGACTGGTACTTGATTTAGGGGACACATAGGTTTTTTTAGATGTGAATCGAATGGCTTCAGTCGTTTTCATCTTAGTTTTTTTAAAAATTTTTCTGAAAACCTCAAAAAATGGGGTGGTGCTATCATTATGACGCGCACTGTATATAAATTTATTACCTTGAACATCTATCCAATTAATCCCTCTTTGGTTCAGGCGAGAGACTGCTCACCAGTCAAGGTCATTCCTTTACACTCCCTGTGTCCTGTTTACCGACTGCCACCTAGTCGAAAAAGGTCCCTTCTGCCATACTTGCTAAATCTTGGCCCGGCCCGCCGGTTCCGAAAATTTCAAAAATTTTCAGTTGATTTTTGATAAACTGTTCTGAAAATAATCATTCTAAAGCACGAAATTTATCCCAGGACCCTTCTCAAAGCTGAAAACAAAGAAACTTTGATAAAATGCTCCCAAAAATCCAGGGTTCTCTCAAAAAATGACTCTTAAAAATTTGTGCCTCAAAAACCCGGGCCAGCCGGGCCGGGCCAGTGAAAATTCCTCCACCTTCTCGGCCCGGTCCGGCCCGCGACATGTATGCCTTCTGCCCTTATTCATCTTTCATCTCAATCGTTTTTTCTGACCATAGCTCTTGTTCCTCTACAATCTTTTCTTTCAATATTTCCCAGAAGAATGATTCTCTCCAAATATCCGAATCTGGTCCAAAAAGAAATATTCGACGACATGGAATATTTGGAACTATTTATGCTTTCATTCGGTTCAAAAAATATAAAGAAATTTCTTAAATTGTCCTAAACCAAAAGATTCAAAACTATCCCTGCCATTGAGTATTTATGTAACAATATATCACAGCCACCGTTGGTTTATGTCCCCTCCAAACGTGGTGTAGAGCCTATAATGGACTTTTGGAATCCCAAGAAAGATAAATATGGCATTTTTCAGTTGAATGTATCTGGAAAAATGATCGATATTCAGTGAGTTACGATCAGCAATGAACCTTAAAGATTTTATTATTACAGATTGTGTAATAACAAAAAAAACAATGGCATGTTTTGAGGATAGTGACAAAGAATCTGTAATCGAATCAATTCATAATTATTTACTTGATTTTTTCGGAAGATCAGTACAGTATTATTGGAGTATAAACTATTTTAAACACTATTTTATTCCAAACCTCCAAAACGTATGTCTTGAAATATGCCTCGATGAAGACTTCACGGACTGAAAAAAGCTTGAATACTTTTTATCCTCATCTTCTATTTTCAAATGTATTAAATTGGAAACTGCGGTGACAACGGAACCATTCCATCCAGAATCGAAATTCTATCAGGCAGATTCTATTCTAATCATTCAACTTCGAAACATTGTTCCTTCTCCTGCTATTTTACGCCATTTCGAAGATAGAACTCGACGAGTGCTACAAAATGATATTATTTGGAGAACTGTATCATGTCTATGAACGAAGTTACAGACAAACAACATATGCCTAGCCACTTTATGTCTTGTAACTTTGTTCATAAACAAGATACAGTTCTCCAAACAGTATCATTTTGTAGAACTCGCAGAGTTCTATCATTTGTAAATTTGTTGGTCTAAAAATATTGTTTCTGAAAGAAACTATGACAAGGCCCGGTCGCAAGCATGCTTAAACCTGCAAAAAAATGGCCCTCTCAAGTTTGAGCTCAATTATCTCAATTCCTATGCAAGATATCAAAAAGTGGTAAACTGACAAAATATTTTTGATATTATGATAAACATTTTATCACTTGACAACTTTTTGACATCTTTCACGAGAGTCGAGAACAATTAGCTCAAAGTTAATCCTCCTCATTTTTGTGTTATTAATTCTTGACCTCCTCTCCCTTTGCTATCTATTTTTTCACCACTTTCCCACGTCTTTCGGAAAAAAAAATGCTATCTATAAAAATTTGTTTTTGAACAGTCTCGAAATCCCGATCCATTTTCATAATCAAAACTGAGAAAACAAAGAAAATCTGCCCGCCCAAAAAACACACACAATGATCATGTTAATTGTTATCTCGATGCTTATCGTTATGTCCAGTCACTCAGTCGTCGTTTTTTGTGCGAAACCGAAAAAGGATAAGAAGGAGAACATGTTGGCGATCACGCCACAGGTATTGACTACCCAGCTTTTCTAGGTAAAATGGGCTCTTTTAGGGAAACACACCACATCCGCATGGTCCCCATAAGTCGGTGATTGTTGAGCGAGAAGATCGAGATTCGACGAGAACCAAGGCTGGGAATCGGAATATGAAAAGTAGCAAGGAGCCAGATTCCACGTAGGGGAGACAAAATAATTATCAATAGAGCACAATGATTTCAGAGACGACGCCTTCAAAGATTTGGCCGCCCGTCTTGCGAAAAAGGAGAAGCCAGACAAGACGAACGATTCGCTTCTTGGGGACGATGAGAATCCGTTGGCACAGCTTCAGATGCCTGAACGACCGGTGGTGGAGCCGAACCAAGACGGAGCGAAACTGGAGAATATTGTGGAGATGGAGAAGAAGCCGAAGCCACTGAACAAGGCGCCGACACCACAGGTCAATCCGATCACCGCCAAAGATGTTTCAGTCGCGATACCGCTTGCGAGCTCGGCGCCGAAATCGAAAAAATCACAAAAGACGAAATTAAAGTTAGAGGCTAGTCCTCCGGTGCATACGGATAAGACACAATCGGACCCGAGGAAAGACGTGGATCCGACACAAATTGGCACTTTGGAGGAGAATCCGGAGACGGTCACGAAGGACAAAGAAGCCGTTAAGAAAGAAGATAGCTCAATGGTGAATTTTTTTTTATTCGACGTAAGATCGAATTTCTCTTACTATTTATTGTCGAATTAAAAAAAAAACACCTGAGAATTTGAAAACTTTTGCTTTTTTTGATCTACGAAAAAGTGCGGCAAAAACGTAATATTTCAGAATTTCGGCTCGTTTGAACTACTTTCGCGTTTAAGTTTAGTTTTTTTGCTGAAAAATAGATTCTAGAGATGCTAACGATTATTTTTAGACCAAGAAATCAGAATTTTCGTTCAGAAAATCCCACTAAATTCACATAAATAAATTTGTTATCTACAGTATCCGTTTTCGCTCCGCCCCCTCGTAAATCGACACGAGCGCCGTCTCCGAGATTTTCAGGTGTCACTTTTTTTTATCCGACAATAAATTATATTTAAAAATCAACATAGTCCGCAAGTTACTGTAACGGTGTTTGCAGATTTTGCATCAAACTTTACGACATTTCTCTGAAAATTATTTTTCAGAAGAACAAAAATCCATCGACGTCGTTGAAGAAAACGAAAAAGGATGCAACATTTTTTCAGAAAACAACGAAGGGTGGTGACAAATAAACATTTAATTCGGTGTTCGAGAATTTTTTCATAAATATAATTCTAGGTTCTTTTTTTCCAGTGGTGATTCCTGGTTTCAGACAAAAACGTGGTTATGAATAGGGGTTATAACTTGGGAGGGGGGAGTTATCGAATAAATAGTACATTGATTATTGTGGATTCTGGATGGGGAGAGGGGATGCGGAAGAACATAAGATCGATATAATTCCGGGAGATAAGACACTTTCAGAAAGAAAAAAAAATAAAATTCAATGGCGAATTGGGGAGATCAAGCGACGTCCGTGAAGAGATAAGGATAGGCTCGTTGAATACGAGCAAGAGGCTCAGCACACTGGGGAATAGGACGCACCATTTTGATAACAGTTCTGAAGGATTCCAGAGACTTTCGGAGCAAATCTGCTTGAGTCTCACCGCGACGGTCGGCATCCTGGAATTTTAGGTTTTTAGAACTATTCATAACTAACATAAAAAAGAAAACTTACATGTGCCAAACGAATGAAGTGTGTGTTGAATTCGCTCATCCCACCACGCATTTGCTGTGGTATGTACGGCAGAATTTGCTCGAGAAGCGTTCGAAGAAGCACAATTTTCAGCGCGGTACTACTATCCTTGGTTCGCATCTTGTTCAATTCCTTGAACAGAACATCGTGCTGTAGATTCTCGACATGCATTATCTCTGTTTGTTGTCGTTGGAGCATAGCTTGCATGTGTGGCCCGACGATCATTCCATTCAGACCGATTCCACGCAGCGCCGATGGATCGTATGGAAGACGTTGCGGGACGCCAGCCTTGTCCTTCTCATAGTCAGTCCAGGCGTCCTTCATCTCTTGCTCGGTGAGCTTCTCGTCTTCCACGTTGGCAAACAGTGTGTCATGCTCAATGTAGTCGACGACTGCGAATTGATTCTGATGAATCACATCAGCCAGCAAACGATCCTTCGGCGGAGCACACGCTATCTCAACATCCGGATCATAAGCGGCAGGTGTGAATTGATAGAGTTCAGTCAAATCGTGACCGAGATAATGCCGTTGAATCTGTGCTTCATCCACCACACGCATCGACGTGGATTCTTTGGTGACCTGTCGTTTGTAAATACGTTCTTCCATCGTTCCCTGAGCAATGAATCGGTAGATATAGACGGGTTTCGTTTGGCCGAAACGATAGACACGGAACAGAGATTGAGTGTCGTGAGATGGATTCCAGCAAGCGTCGAAGATGACGACACGATTTGCGGCAACCATGTTGGTACCAAGCGATCCGGCGCGAGTAGAAATGAGCATCAAACTAAAATTTGTACTTTAAGGATTATAACTATTCTAGGACACACTCACCGAGCTCTCAAGTTCTCTGGATCATTGAATTGTGTCTGTACGGCATCTCGTTTCACAGACTGCACGGATCCATCAATAGTCATATAGTCTTCTCCTTCTAGCCATGACCATGTCTCTCCTTCGGCGTTCAAAGCTTCGTGATCATCAGAAAACCATTGACCAGTGCCTGCCATGTACTCAAGCATTCTTCGAATCAATGCCAATGACTCAAGGGATTGCGAGAAAACGAGTCTAAAAAAAGAAGGAATTTCAATAGATACTAAAACCACTAAACAACTCACAACTTGTCTCCAATCTCCTCGCACTTCTTGATAATCGCCATGAGAAGAACAAGTTTGTTGCTCAACGAGAAGTCATCTTTATCCTCTTCACTGCACAATCCCAACTTGGAAAACCATCCAGTGTATTCTGGAGGTGTATCACACTCACGCTCATCGACATCCTCTCCCGCCAGACGACGTGACGCACGGATTCCTTGTTGAAGAATATTCATAGCAGCGTCATCCTCCTCTTCGTCAGCTCCACCAGCTCGTCTCGATTTGCGTGCAGGCGGAGAGCTCTTTCTATTCTTCTTATTCTTGTTCTTCTTCTTCTTCCCCGAATCCTCATCATCGTCAGACGCCAAAAATGATTCTTCTGATTCTGATGAGAGGCTCACTACAGATTCCTCGGGTTCAGATTCGTCGTCATCAATGAAGGCCTCCTCTTCCTCCTGCTCCTCTTTCATCACTCGTTCTCTTTCCATTCGTTGCTCATGAATGATAAGCTGATGAGGATGGGTCCAGATCCGAGAGAACATGTGATAATCCGGTAGAAGACGTTTCGAGAGTCCAGTATCGCCAACGACATCGCTCAGGAAGGCTCTGAAAGGTTTTAGAAGTTCTTATTTCGATTTTTGAATAGGAATCCTGATTCATCAGCTTCCAAACTCACTTATAAAGTTCACATTGTCTCTCGGTAAGACGCACGTTGATCACATATTCTTGCTTCGGCGGAATGGCTTCTGTCAAGACTCGATAGTCTTTTCTCTTTAATTCAGATTTTTTAGAAATTCAGAATTATATTCTAAGAAGATTCTTCTTCAACTTACATCCACACACTTCTTCAAGTGATCATACAACACGTGGCAACGACGCTTCATGAATGACACTTCGAGAGCCGACGCATCCTTGGTACGTCCTCGATTGATAATATTCACAAATCGATTGGCGAACTCGGTTTTCGTTCCCAGCAATCCTGGCTTCACAAAGTTCACCATGCAGTGATCTGCAAATGTTTTTTAAATTATTTCTGGCTCTAAACCAAAAGAAAAAATCTTACACTCCATGAGATTATTCTGCAGTGGGGTTCCTGTCAAACAGATTCGTCGTCTCGTCCGAATCTTCACCATACACTTTGACAACGCCGAATCATCGTTCTTCAGTTTGTGAGCCTCGTCACAAACGATCATATCCGGTCCTGGATCCTGAAGATACTTTCGGAAGTCCTCTTTGGCCTTGGACATTTTTCTGCTCAACTTGGTTTTCTTCTTTTTCGGATCATCCTCCACTGTCAGAATACGGAACATATCGTATCCGATGATCATCACACTTGGATCTGTAGACCTATGCCATGCCTGAAGCACACGTCTTCTCTCCTCGACAGTCTTGTATGAATCCAACTCGTTGACTTCAATGGTGTCTAGTTCTTCGTCATTGTCATACAACCACTTTTGGAACTCTTTAAACCAATTGATAATAACGTTTTTGGGCACAACAACCAACACCCGTCGACACTTTTCTCCTATCTTCGGATGCATCATAACAGTGTGAAGGAATGTGATAACTTGAAGAGTTTTACCGAGACCCATGCAATGTGCCAGAATACCCCCGGATCCTTCTGTATTCAGACGCTCTATCGATTCGAATGCACAATCGTACATAAACTGAACTCCGTGCGCTTGATGAGGCTTCAAAATGCTAACCAGCGATTGGTGAACCTCTACTGGAGTCTTTGGATCCTCACTTGCCGCATCTGGATCCAAAACCACCGACTTGAGCTTTCTCTGAGAAGATGTTCCAGTGAGAACTTCTGTGAGATCTTCTCCCTCTTCCAGCACTATTCCATTGAACTCTTTTTGCTTCTTCTCTAGACGCTTTCTGCGTTCTTTCTCTGCATTCTCTGCGTCGATGGTCTCTTTGGCAAGATCCGAGCTGTCCATGATGATACCCTTCTTCTTTTTCTCTGGCTTCTCCTTTTTCGATCCACGTTTCTTGCGAGTGACATTGATCGACGCATCGGAAAATTCTCCGTCTTCTGAGTCGGAAACGGTCTTCTTCTTATTATTCTTTTTGACTTTCCTATCGTCATCCGAACTTTCATCTTCAGATTCCACTTTCTTCTTCATTGGCTTCTCCTCATCCGACTCCGAGATCACTACGGCTCCTCTCTTCCGAGGCTTTGGCATCACTTCGAGATCAGACTCTCCCGACTCATCCACAATCGCAGATTGATTCTTCTTTAATTTTGGCATTGTCACTTCGTCCGATTCAGAATCGGACTTCTTCACTGGCTCATTTTCAGACTCCTCCCCTTCTTCTTCCTCTGAAGATGGTTCCTTCTGCTTTTTCTTCTGTACCTTCTCCTTCTTCTCCACCTTCTCCTCTTCCTCATCTTCTTCCGAGGACGTCTTCTGATGCTTCCTCTTCTGCGGCTTCTTCTTCTTCTTTTCTACCTTTTCCTCATCTTCCTCCTCTTCCGAAGATGATTCTTTCTGCCTTCTCTTCTGTGCCTTCTTCTTCTTCTTTTCCACCTTCTCCTCTTCTTCTTCCTCATCAGAAGATTCCTTTTGATGTTTCTTCTTCTGAGACTTCTTCTTCCTTTCCAACTTCTCCTCCTCTTCATCTGACTCCGACTCCTTGGCAACGCGCTTCTTCTTCTGACTCATCGACTTCTTCTGCTTCTTCGGTGCTTCATCTGACTCCTCCTCCTCCGATGATTCTGCCTTTCTGTTTTTCTTCGATGGCGTCTTCTTCTTAGGTTTCTTCACTTCTTCCTCCTCATCAGAAGACTCTTCGGATTCAGAAGATTCCGCCTTCTTCTTCTTCTTATCTGTCTTCTTTTTTCTGGAACTTCTTCTCTCCTCCTCATCTTCCACCTCTTCAGAAGAGCTTGACTTTCTTCTCTTTCTGGCCTTCTCTTGTTTCTTTTTAGCAGATTTTTTCGGAGATTCTTCTTCCTCATCACTGTCATCCTCCTCTTCTGACGACACTCGACGTCTTCTGAAAACTCAAAAATACAAAAATTCTTTCTAGAAACCCTACTTTTTCGGTGGTGGTCGTTTTTTGGCAGGTGTCTTCTTTGGAGTTTTTCCTTCTTTTAACCGCTTTTCCTTCAGCTTCTGAGCTCGTCTCTCCTTGCGCTCCTTTTCAATTTGGGCGGCCAACTGGAGATCTTCATCATCGATGACTTCTTTGACGCTGAAAAAGGGTAATTCGGAGCATTTGGTGTCAAAAAAAACTTACTCAGAATCGTCCGAGTCGCTGACGACTTTCATTTTGTGACAATCTGAAATATTATAAAATCAAAAACAAATTCAAAGAAATCTCAAGCAGAAATAAGAATCATATTGATCGGACACTTTTCGGTTCAAAAATTGAGAGACCACCCACTAAAAAAGGTATAGTGAATGCGCGAACAACCGACACAGAGGGTCGATGAAACGAGAGATGTACGGCTCAGAAGAGACGCAGAGAAATCGGCGAGAGAGTATTGGAAAAGTGGAGGGTACCAGAGAAGCTAGACAAGAGATGATGACGTGGAAGTCATTTTTTCAAAACTTAAAAATTTCAAGTTTTTGGGTCACCAGGAGGTTGGATAACCCGGGGTGGGACCATACAATCTCGGCCGAATCTACAGTACACTTGAACATCAGTCTTCGAAATTTTGAGATTTTCTCCACTGTTTTCGAAGGAAAACGTTAATTCAGACCGAATTATTGAGTTTTTCAACATTTTTAACATAGAAAATCAGCAGAGAGCTCATGAAATCAGACATCGTCGAATCAAAACCAAAATTCAAATAATTTCAACTTCGCAAAGTTTTTGTCAAATGTTTGCGCGGGACATCGCGCACATCGTACGCACCCGACACCATCACGCCATATTGCGGACTCAGCTGCGGGCAGCGACTGGAACGACGCGAACGCTCGCCAGATGACGTCATGTTTTAGAGTTTCATGTTTTTTTTTGTTTTTTTTCTTCTGGCGGTTTTTATTATGAAAATGTATCGTGTTGAGGAAGATTCTGTCGTCTATTTCTGTCTGAAAATTCAGTTTCTTGTAAAATTTTTTTTCAAAAAAACCCAGAAATTGTGGTTTTTCCGGCTAATTTCCTTGCTAAATGTGCTTTTTCTAAGTCAAAAAATCCCGAAAATTCTTAATTTCCTCACTATGAAACCCATGATATTAGAATCCGCTTGCTAATTGTTGAATCTCATTCTGACCTTTGTCTTCTGACTCACTTTCTCCCCATCTAATTTACACTGTGTCATCTAGTCTTGTGTCTTTTTTCTGTTATCTAGTTCTTTTTTTCTGTTTCCATTCTGCTTATTTTTTCATCAGTATCAGTAGCACCTGACACGTATAGAGTTCCATTGCTTCAATGAGCAGGATTTTTGCTTTTTCCCGGTTCATTCAATAAAATTTTATTTTAATTTAATTTTTGAAATTTTCAAACTACAAAAGAAAGCCACCTGAATGATTTCCTTGATCCTGCTATCCCCCTTGAAGTACTTTTTCTGCAGATTTGCCTATTGCCACTTCTCTCCCTTCTTATCCATTTTATTCTTATCCTCATTGCCTCACACGAGAAGAAAGAGCCCCCAAACAAATACACCGATTTTCTCCCCCATTTCTTCTTTTTTTCCGTAGCAGAAACTGGAGGAAAAAGAAAAGGAATATAACCTCCTCGTACTCCCCCGCCTCCTTTGGTTTCTTGGAAGAAAGCCAAGGAGACGTCGTCGTTTCTTCCACGTCTTCTTCTTTTTTCTACAGATGTGGTTCTCTGCTCTCGCTCTCTCTCTCTCTCTCTCTCTCTCTCTCTCTCTCTCTCTCTCTCTCTCTCGCTCTTCTACCGAGTTGTCGTACTCTTTTTCGCGCAACGGAGGGCGCCCGTGGGGTCGGAGAAAGCGGAGAAAACGAGAGAGAAAATAACTGAATCAATACACACACATCTAGTCGTGGCAAAGAAGAAGTAGAAGAAGATGACGAGAGAAGGCACAGCGCATACAACGGCTTCTCTCAGAAAGAGGCTCCGCCCATTTTTCTTCTCCTTTTACTAAAGGTCCCTCCCCGCCGCGAGAAGGAGGAGAGCCGCTTTTCCGGAATACGAAAGTGTGGGGTCTACGGTTAACTACCTTCTTTGAGGGGGCTCTAATTGCCTCCTTTTTTCTAAGAAGAAGTTTCACTTTTGGCTATATTGCTTGGTTTTCGTTTGAAAATAGGTTTGGAGTTCTCATCCTTTGAAGATTTGAATTCAATGTCTTTGCGCTTTAATGAGGAGGTGACGTGGCGAAGTTCTAGGCCCGGGAAATTTGAATTTTCAAAAATAAAGCGCAACTGCATATCCCAGCAGTTTGAATGCTATGTTGTTTGAGCTTTGAAATCTTTGCTAATTGAATCCATTTGGATTCCTCAGGAAATTTAATCTGAACTTTCTGGCTCTTCTAGCGGTTTCTGACACATCTGGTAGCCGGTGCCACGACACCGCAACCGACCCCGCATCATCTGGAGAAAAAATGTGTGCAAATATTTGTTTTTTGTCCCCAAAAATGGTTTCTTTTTCCCATTTTCCCCGCTTCATCTCTTGCAGAATTTTTCAATTTTTCCCTGTTAAAAATTCTGAATTTAACCGTTTTTCCAAGGAAAAAAATCCCCGGGAAAAGTGGGCGGAGCCTAAGTTGCAAGCTTCATATCTGACTCCGCCCACTCCCCATAATTTTTTTCTAGCTATTTTTGCCTTTTTCTATTTCCTCCTCCATCTTCGAAAATATAATTTCCCACTGAAAAAGACAAACAATGTCGTTCCAGATTCGAAAAAATGTCGTTCTCCGGCTTGCGTAAGCAGTTCAACAAGGCCAATCAGTACCTGTCGGAGACGATGGGCGCCGCGGAGCCGACAAAACTCGACGACGTGTTCAACGATATGGAGAAGAACATTGACACCACGTACAATTTGATCACAGATCTTGTCGCGGGCACCAATGAGTATCTCCAGCCGAATCCAGCTACACGAGCCAAAATGGCGACTCAGGTGGCATTGTCAAAAGTGCGTGGCACAACGAAGACGTCGCCGTATCCACAGACGGAGGGAATGCTTGCAGAGGTCATGCAGAAGTACGGACAACAATTGGGAGACGGCAGCGATTTGGGAAAGGTTGGTGTGCAAACTTGGGAGCGAAGAGACAGGAGAGTGATGTCACTTTCACTAATCTCTGTTTCATAGAAAATATAATTATCTGAAAATTGAATTTTCAGCACTTTCGGAAACAATCGAAACTAGAGTAGTAGAATTTAAAAGAATGTTTCATTCCAAGATTACATAATCTACAATTACAGGCTCTCAACGATGCAGCTGAAGGCTATCGACAAATGGCGGACATCAAATATCAAATGGAGGACAATGTCAAACAAAACTTTCTGGATCCTCTGATGCATTTGCAGAATAACGAGCTGAAGGATGTGAATGTAAGTCTGCAGAAACCCCATTCCATAAAAAACCCTAAAACATTTTCCAGCACCATCGCACAAAACTGAAGGGACGCCGTCTGGATTACGACTGCAAGAAGCGTCAGCAACGACGAGACGACGAGATGATACAGGCCGAGGAGAAGCTGGAAGAGTCGAAGCGTTTGGCTGAAATGTCAATGTTCAACGTGCTCAGCAACGATGTAGGCCTAATTTTTCTCTAACATATAACATAATGAATTTCCTTTGTTTTAAAGGTCGAGCAAATCTCTCAACTCCGTGCTCTCATCGAGGCGCAACTGGATTTCCATAGACAGACTGCTCAGTGTCTGGAGAATCTTCAACAGCAGCTCGGTCATCGAATCAAGGATGCGGCGTCGAGACCACGAGAAGAGCATGTGCCACTGCCAGTGCTGGGAAATGAGAGCCGAACGCCGAGATCGAGGTTTGTACAAAAGCATGGATTGAGTTGTGAATCTTGCATGTTCGTTTTCTAGAATCTTGAATTTTTTCTCTTCGAATATATTCACGCATCCTCTATCTCTCTCTCCGCTTGAAAGCTCATCATAAAAGGAGAAGAGGCAGGAAGAGGAAGACAAAAAGAAAAGAAAACATCATTCAGCGGGTATTAAAAACAGAGCGGAGAGAGAGAGATGGATGAATGTGCATATATGTTGTCCTGCTCTTTTCGCCAAAAACGGACGGACCATATGATGGATTACCTCTAGAAGAAGAAGAAGATGAAGAAGAGCTCGTTTTGAAGAGAAAATAGGGAAAATATAGATAAAGTTTTGATGAGCACCCAATGACATATTTAATAGGGGCTCGTTGGCCTAGGATCCGACTCGGTCAACTTTGTGAATTATTGAAATTTCATTTTTCTAAGCCACTCCCACCTGGATAGCCTAGAATCCGACTCGGTCGACTTTTTGAATTTTCGCAATTTCAATTTCAATTTTCTAGGCGACGCCCACTTGGATAGCTTATTATCCGACTCGGTTAATTCTTTGAATTTAAGAATTTTCAACTTTCTAGGCCACGCCTCCCCCAATTTTTGAGTTTCCAGCATCCTTTTCATTTTGCTTAATTTCTCAAGGGATAGAAGGATATTGTGTCCTCAATAGAAGCTCGCTGGCCTAGGAGGATCCAACTCGGCCACCTTTTTAAATGTCTTGAAATATAAATTTCGATTTTCTATGCCACGCTCTCTTTTCTGACCTAGGATCCGACTCGGTCATCTTTTAGAATTTTCAGAATTTCAATTTGAATTTCCTAAGCCACCCCCACCTGGATAGCCTAGGACCCGACTCGGCCACTTCAAGAATTTAAAAGTTTTAACTTTTTAGGCCACGCCCTCCTCACCCCACTTTTGAGTTTTTTTAGCATCCTTTTTTGCTTTTTGCATGCATCGAGCCTCTTCCTATACATTGCCTTCAGTTTCAGATCGCCTGCTCCATCAGAGATGACCCACAATTCAGTGCAACCTGCAACGGTGAGATTTTTAATCCTTCTTTCTTGACGGGAAGATTCGAAACAGCATTTCCATCTCTAATGAGCATTCTATCTTTGAGAACGCCTTCATAACCAACTCCCCAGTTTCAGAACGGCGGTGGAATGCCATCACAAGCGCCACCAGCGTACCAGGGAGGACCACCACCAGGCGGACTTCCACCACCACTATCCCAACAGCAGAAGCCTCAATGTCGTGCTCTGTTCGATTTCGATGCTCAAAGTGAAGGAGAATTGGACTTCAAAGAGGGAACGATCATTGAGCTGGTATCCCAGATCGATGAGAATTGGTACGAGGGACGGTTTAATGGAAAAACTGGATTGTTCCCAGTCACTTATGTTCAAGTCTTGGTGCCATTGAAATAATTAATGTTTGTCCCTTTTGCCATTCTAATTGTGTCTTAAATTCTTCTTGCTTCCCTCCTGTTCGAATTGCCCATCAATCCTCTGTCAATGCCCCGCCCACTTTTTATTTGAAAAAAAATCTCACTTTTTTTTGTCTCCCTAGGAAAGTAACAAGTTAGAGAACGTCTCTATGAGACTCCCCCATGTATTTACCACCTATGAAGCTTTACTGTAAAGCCTTTTAAATCCCAAAAACTACTGTAACCCCGATGACTCCTCCCCTTTTCTCCTTGTGTCCTCCTCTCACAGCAATACCATCTCTTGTTACAGTATCCCGAGAGCATTTATTTTAGCTTTATATTTATTTTATTTTTTGTATGATTAGTAACTTATTTTGCACACCTTTCATGAATCTAGAACCTTTTAAAATTGAAACTTACAAAATGTTTCCAAAATCAATCGATTCCTTTAGCTGTAAAGCGGTATGAGCAAGAGAGCCATACCACTTTGTACAACCAAAGAAATCGAGAAATTTGGGTAAAAGAAAATAGAAGTAGTAGAATAGGAAAGTAGGAAAAATAAGGAAGGCGCTGATGTCTTGTGACACTATTGGCGATCGCTTTTATACCGTCTAAAAAAGATCAAAATCAGAGAAAGGGGAGAAATGGAGGCGGAGACTTCGAAGGAGGCAAGTTGCAAGATGGACAATGGGCACCCCCTGCTGGGTCTGAAAGATCCGATTTCGCTGATTAAGACCCCATGGTTGGGGAGAGGGCGATGAAATGAAATGGGAAGAATAATGAGAAGTGAAAACATCGAGAGAGAAAAAGGAAAACGGATCCGGTTGGAAGAGAAAAACGAGTGAAAGGAGATTTGGATTCTCTCTGGATTTCGAGATTTTTCGAGAGATTTTCGAGTTTTTAGATCATTTGAAAAGATACTCAAGAATATTCAGGTCGCCAATAGGACATAGGAGAATGCCGAGAATTTTGGGAAATCGGAAGATCGAACATCTTCTGGAAACCTGAAATCTACGATTTCAAGATTTTGAAAGAGTACGATAGTTTTCTGCGCTCCTCCGCACATTTCGCAAAACTTTCATTTATAAAATATTTGAATAATTGAGCCGAAACCTTACTGTCGAATTAAAAAAAGTGGGACCTGAAAATTTGAAAATCGTAGCTTTTTTTGATCTACGAAAAAGTGCGGCAAAAACGTAATATTTCAGACTTTCGCCTCGTTCGAGCTACTTTCGCAATTAAGTTCGGTTTTTCGATGAAAAACAGATGCTAGAGATGCTAGCTATCATTTTCATATCAAGAAATCTAAATTTTGTCCAGAAAATCCCACTGCATTCACAGAAATAAGTTTCGCTTACAATGTAGTGATTTTGAGGCAAGGCCTAGAAAATTGACTTTGAAGCCGCCCGCGAAATTTTCCAGGTCCCACTTTTTTTAATTCGACAATATGAAGTTTTCAGTAAAAACGCAGTTTTTATACGGTGTTTTCTTTCGGAACGTCGTGTATTTTAATGCGGTCAAATGCGATGACCGTAGTTCTACACGGTGCACGGTGAGTTTTTCACGACGGAATGCGAAACAGTGTGCGACGTTTTAAAGTACATAGGACAAAAAAAATCTGATCCATTTTTTTACTATATATTCTTTATAAAATTTACTAAAAATTTATGGAACAGAAAAAAAAAGTTATAGACTAGAATTCGAGAAAAAAATTCCAAAGTTGAATCAGCGGTAGTGAAAAACTCACCGTACGGTGAAATTAGCGTTGGTCTCCACGCGAATACTACAAATTCAACTGCTGGGGCCCGACAAAGAGTTGCCTGCATTCCATTGAGAAAACAGCGCGGGAAATTGATTTTCTGAAAATCATTCCGGAAAAAATTGAAAAACTAGGAGAATTTCGAGAATTTGAGCAAAAAATTCACTAAATATCGCCTAATTGCGCTCCACCGCACATTTTTTAAATCTGTTACACTTGACACGTAAATTGGTGCGATAGAGCGCTGGTGCTTTTCGATATTTTGAGCAAGAATCTTATGAATATTCTGCAAGTAATCACGGGTTTTCCGGAAAATTGGTCGTAATTTTTTCCCGCGCTTTTTTTGATGGAATGCAGGCACCGCTAACTGAGTGAGTAAAGCTTCCGCTTTGAGACCAACGCTAGTGTTACTGTAGAATTACGGTATTCGCATTTGAGCGCGTTTACAAGAAGTTCCGAAAAAAAAAACAAAAACAAACACCGTATACTTTTGAAGGTTTTGAGCCAAAACTTCATGAAAACTTCGGAAAAAGTTTCATAAAACAAATTTTTTCAGATTTTCCTTTTCCGCTGGATTTTCGATTTTCAAGCATCGATTCTTGTTTTGCTTGCTGACGAACATCAGTTCGATAAGAATCTAATATCTACATTCATTGAATGATAATAGTGTGTTATATTCCAGATTCAGTTTCTCTCCCTCTTGTTTTTCTCGAATGAATTGATCATAAAGCAATTTTATTTGAAGATAAAATCTCATAAGACAAAGTGTTTTTCGAGGAAACAGGCGATTTGGGAGAAAACGAGTTTCAATGACTTTTCGTAATTCTAAAAAATGTACTGGAATTTATACAAAATTGAAAACAGAAGTAATAAAAGTTAGCATCGGCTCAAATAATAGCTCAAAAGCTCAATTTGTAAAAAAACGGGGGCTAAAAATGAGAGTTTTAACAACTATCAAATACATTAAAAAACATGTTGAGCTCATGTGAATCTTTACAAGAATACAGAAAAGGATGTGCTGAACAAATTGGAGAAACGAGACAATGGAAAATGACAAGGGAATTAAAGGGGGACTCCGACCAAAAATTTTTATTGCATTAAAATGTGTTAAAAGTTATCTATTTTCCGAATATTATTGCGAAAAAATTCAAAGAAAATCCGAAATCCCCCAAAAACGGCGTTGAAAAGGAAGAAAATTCAAAAAAACGTGCCCCCGGGGGACGAGGATTTTCAATGAGAAACCT